GACGCTACAGTATTGATCGATCCCATCAAGATTTCAACTCTGACAAATCTCAGACATAAACAGCTTACTCCGCTCACAAGTCGTTTCCCAGATATCACTAAGATATCTGCTCGAATCTTCCCTTCTAATCACCAGCCGACATCTGTAGAACAAACAATAACTAAGCAGCCAACCTATCTTCCGCTTTGCCTCATCTGTCAAAATCCAGGATACGTTGGAGATATCCTATCCTGTGCTCGAATGACTTCCATTCCAATCGCCAGCCGATATCTATAAAGCTGAGAATGACTCAGCATCTTGTCTACTCACCCCACCACCGCCCTCCTGTGCATGGTCAAAGCCAATGGTTGGAATCTCAGAGGCAAAGGACTATAAAAGGGAGGAAAGAGGGTAAGGAAAAGAGGTTCGGCTTTCTACTCTCTGCTCTCTGTTCTATTCTTTTAATCTTGACTCTACTAAGAGACTGAACCTTCATTAAATTCGGATGAGCATTTTCTCCCACTGGATCCATTTTCTTTTCACTAATAGACCTAAAAGAGTACCCCCTGAAAAAGACCTCAATGGTCCCGAGACTCTCCCTCAAACCCCACTCAAGCTCACTAGCTGACTTGACCGTCAGAGGTACCACGGAGAAACTAGCTCCGCCCTCTTACGGGTTCGTTCTTCTTGTTTATGCAGCAGAATCAGAAATTCCAGTCCAAGGATCAGGTATAAAGTCAGAGGAGGAGTCGGCCACATCTCTCGTCCTCTCACTCTCAGTCATCCGCGGACAACTCTCATCGACTGTGTGATCTCGGACATCAACATAAACCTTTCATATAATTGTTTTCATAAGTAGTAGCTTTAATTAGATATTTTAAAGATATCAATAGATTAATTTTATATTGACTTCTTCAAATTAGCAAGTAATTAAATTTTCTGGGTATATTCACTGTAATCCTCACAATACTAAAACTCATCCTCTTGGATAACCTAGGAGTTTAAAGACTTGTTGCATATGCTAAATGCAATTGTGATTTCTACGAAAGTGTCGGATTTACATTTATTTTTCTTTCTATGCTTGAGGACTAGCAAAGTTTAGGTTTGGAGTATTTGTTAATACATTTTGTTGCATTTGTGCATCTCTATTCATCTAAATTTTCATGCAAAAATAATTACTAAAATATATTGTTTACCAATTTTTTTTAGAAATAAGAAGTTTATGAAGAAAAGGGCTCGTAAAACAAATTTGGAAGAGCGCAAAAGCACTCTGGAGAGGCCCAAGAGATAAAAAGGAGTTAATTACAAGATAATTTAAGCCCATGAAGCCCATATATCAAGTCTTGGAAGACAAAAAAGAGAATCATCTCGGTCAGCAAAAGCAGGCTAGTAAGAATCGATACCTCTATTGATACTAGTATCAATATGAGCATCGATACCCTTATCAATACTTAGCAACCAGAGAGCAAATGAATTGAATCAATTATATACATTGAGAGATCCATTAGTTTTTATTTCTATAGACCATAGTTTTTGCTATAAATAGTGGGATAGACCCGAGGAAAAGGTTGTCAAAAATTTTGTAACTCCATTTTAAAGAGGAAGTTGCCTTTGTGTATTTTCCGATTATATAAAAACTTTAGTTTTTATGACAACATAAACATTTTTGCTCTTAAATTTCTTTTAAAATTTGGAGATTTGGAGGTAATCTTGAAGCAATTCTTGAAGAGCAATCTTTTCTCTTTGTGAGTATTTCTTCTTTAATTCATCTTTTTCCATATTTTCTTCTTTTTAATTTATGCTTTTCATTCATTCTTTGTTTTCTAGTTTGATTCATGCTTAAATAGTCTCATGGGACAGAGTTAATTTCTAGCTTAATAATTAGTTTAAATTCTTACTTTTATTTGTTTATTTATTTTTGTTGTTGTTGCAATTAAGTTAATAATTAATACGAGTAGCTAATTTCTTAGGTTATTTATGATTTTATGAAACTAGTGTAGTTATTATTTGCTTTTAGAATTACTCTCCTTATGCTAAATTTTTCATTCTTAGAATAATCGTTTAATTTGGTAGAATAATTTAAATTGATATATTATGATTTATTTGAGTAGTTTGATAACCTATGTATTTTAATGTTCTAGAATTATTACTTGGTCTGATTCATTCTATCCATGAAATCTAATTTTACTTAAGAGTATAATTTGATTAACTATGCTTTCTTTCAGCAGAGTGATAGACTTTGCTTTTTAAATCTAAGTAATATAGGATAAAAAGAGAGTAGTTTTTAAATCTGAGTAATAATTACCTAGTGGAATCAATCTAAATAGTTAGCTGTTTTTCTCATTTCTTTAATTTATTTCTAGTTTCTTGCATTTATTTTCATTGTTCTTTCTAGCCTTCTCCTTTATGGTTTCCTTCTAGTATTTGCAATTTGTTTTCTCTTCTTTCTCGTTTACTTTTTTTAATCAAACTCAACCCAACTTTTCAAAACCTCTTTTCAAATAACCAAATTACAAGAAGTTTTTTAAAAAGCCATCCTTCCTTGTGGATCAACTCATAACTACTACAACCTCTAGTTGTATACTTGCGATATTTTTAAAACTTAAATTTTTGCACAACACCATTATTTTCTATTTAGACTATTGATTATTCAGTGGATGGTTATAGACAATTGTGAATCTTTAAAATTTAAAATTTTAACAAAAAACTAACATAATCACTATTTTCTTTTTTATGGGGAAAAAAGATGGATTCGGATCCTCTCCACTATCTAAAAAGTAGTGGAGGAACCACTACATAATCACAACCATTGATTATCTAGTTGGTAGTTGTGAACTTTTCTTTAAGTGCAAATTAGGAATGAGTGCAATACACGGAGGTATGGTGAGTGCTAGATTTAGACTGTATCATAACCGTCTACTAAATAATCAACGATTGAGATTAAAAGTTGTGATTTCTCTACTACTTTCTTGTAGAGGATCCAAATTCAAAAAAGATGGGGTCTTAGGGGCTGTTTGGTTCGGCTAAATTTTGGAAATCATGTAGTTTTGGAATAAAAAGTAGGTTTTTTGATATTTTTGGATTCCAAAACTGTCATTTGGTTCAACTTTTTTTTTAGAATGCATTTCTTAAAAGCTGACATGGCAACACACTTTATGGAAAAGTCAAATCCTCTTTTAAAGCTCGGAAATGGGCTGGAAATCTGACAACTCATTGACAACTCATCAATTACTCTCATAACTCCTTAAATTTTTTGGTAATGAAACAAACATGAGTTTTGGAAATTCTTTTCTATTCTTCACTTCATCATTCTATACCAAACATAAGTTATGGATTCCTGAATGATCCAAATTTTTTTTGGAAATAGTTATTTGCTTTGGATTCCATTTCCATTATTTTATGGAAACGAACCAAACAGCCCCTTAGCAAAGAAACCCGAGCGCGATGCATAAAAGAAAGATGGCTGTACATATTACAGCAAACGCTCCCAATTCCAAAAGCATGGCCAATTAATATATCCAGTTATTGCATACTAAAATTGTATCTCACCCTCCACAAGTTGAGCAAAAGATTTTTTGATGTAAAAATAGGGCAACTTGCCCTATCATATATATATATATATAATTATAGATGTAGATATCTACTGGTGATTGAAGCAACAATTCTGAGGTAGAGTAAAAATTCAATCACTAGTCTATTCCTTTATACAAATAGGAGGATCAGAGATTCACTGTTCATGCTACAGTAAATGCTACAGTAACGTTTACTGTAGCATTATTACTGTAGTTAATAATTAATTAAAAATATTACTGTAGCACACAGGTATACTGTAACAGTTAAAAGGTACTGTAGCAGAGCGGGGGTACTGTAGCACTACCAAAAATTCAAATCATGCCATATTAAAAAAGCGGGATTACTGTAGCAAAAAAAAATACTGTGCTTTGCACGGACCGCAAACTAGTAGATGTCTAAAGCAAAAACAACTATAACACTACTCTACTACAAACATGAAGGACTCCAAAAGAACAAAAGAGGTGTGTCTGCTGCTCAAGGGGGGCTGCTGCTATCCTCACTAGACTCTCTGATGTCCGCTAGTCCAGAGGAACGAATGATGTTCTTCAGCTTGATGGCCTTCTTAGAAGAAGAAGCACCTGTCCAGAAAAGGAAATAGTAAAAAAGAGTCAGCAAAAGATTTATAAGACAAAATCCCCATATAATAGCAACTATCATAAAATAAAGAGAGTTCGATAACAATTTCCCGACCTTAGTCCAGAATAATTGGCCTATATATATCAGCAATAACAAGTTTGAATATTAGTAGCAACTAACACAGAATAACATGGTCACTAACTAGGAACAGCTTAGGAGGAAATTGAGGACCTAATAGCAATTTTTATGAACTGAAGGGCTAGTTAAAAATCTGCATGCCCCTCAATTTTATTTTTTGCTGCCCGCTAGCCTCCCCCCTCCCGCCCGCGCACCGCGCCTAAGCCTCCGCCTCCGCCGCTCGCTCCTCCCTCAAAACCCAGCAACCAACGCACCGACGATCAGCGCCGCCGCGAGATAGCGCGCCCTCATGAGCAAAGGCCGAAACCCGCTCACAAATTCCCTCGTCGCTCCGGCCTCTCCCCTCTCTCCTCCGCCTTCCAGAACCCCTCTCCCTCCGCTCCTCGCGCGCCCTCTCCCCTCCTCAAACCCTCGCTCGCGCCTCCCCTCTTCAACGCTGCTCCTCTCCCTTCCGGCCTCGCCCTCGACTGCACCGCCAACTCCTCCGGCCTGCCTGCCTCCACCTCCTGGCCTCCGCCACGGCCCCAGCCACCCCTCGGCCCCGCCGCTCCGCTTCTCGGCTCTCCCTCCCCCTCGCGCTGCCTCCAACGACAAGGCTCTTCAACCCTTCCTCGCTGCCTCTCCCGTCTCGCCGCGCTCCGCAACGCGCGCCTCTCCCCTCTTCCGCCTCATGCCCTCCCTCGGCGTACACCCCCTTCCGCGTTCAACCTCACCTCCCTCATTCGCCGCTCTCTGCCCGCGGCCGCACCCTCGACGGGCCCGCCAACTGTTCGGCGAAATGCTCGACTCGAGAATCGCCCCTGACATTTGCACCTTCAACACTCTCATTCGCGGGTTCTGCTTGAACAGGTCGGTCGATGAGGGGTTCGAGTTGTTCCGCGATATGGGGGGGTACGGGTGTTGCCCGGATGTTGTTACTTATAATACACTGCTCGATGGGCTATGTAGAGCTGGGAAGGTTGAGACTGCACGGAATTTCTTGGGTGGGATGAAGAGGAGAGGGGGAGACAGTTCTGTTTCTCCGAACGTTGTGTCGTATACTACTTTGATTCGGGGGTTTTGTGGGTGTGGGGATGTGGTGAGGGCTGTGGAGGTGTTTGACGAGATGGTCGGGATGGGAGTGAAGCCGAATAAGGTGACATATAATACGCTTGTCAAGGGGCTTTGCGAAGCGAAGAGGATGGATCTGGTGAAGGAGCTTTTGGAACGGGAGGATGCAGTGTTCAAGCCGGATACCTGCACGTTCAATACTCTGATGGCTGCACATTGTGATTTTGGGAGAGCGGATGATGCGGTGAAGGTTTTTGAGAGAATGTTGGAGTTGCGGGTGAAGACTGATTCGGCTAGTTATAGTACACTGATACGGGGATTTTGCAAGAGTGGAGAGTTTAAGAGAGCGGAGGAGCTTGTTGATGAGATATTGGAGAAGGGGGTGTTGAAGAGGCGAGGAGTTTGTGTTCCTTTAATGGCCGCCTATAACCCGATTCTTGATCACTTTTGTCATAATGGGAAGGCGAATAGGGCTGGAATGCTGATGAGGGAGCTGATCGAGAGAAGGGCGACAATAGATATTGGTGCATTTAAGACGGTGATTTTGGGATATTGTAGAGAGGGCGAGCTGAGAGAAGCCTATAAGCTATTAGTCTCAATGGTAAGGAGGAACCTCAATCCAGATTTTGAGGTATTTGAGGTTTTAGTTGAAGGATTCTCGGCAAAGGAGGATCATGGTTTTGCTTGGAAGGCTCTAGAGAGAATGTTAAATTGTGGGCATCGGCCTAGGACGAGTACTTTCCACTCGGTGCTTGCTGGGCTTTTAAAGAAAGATGGTTTTGCTGAAGAAGCTGGTAATTTGGTTGCCGTGATGGTGGAGAGAAAAGTTCGTCATCATATCGACCTTTCAACTGGTGTTGTTGCCAGTCTTCTTGGTATGGGATTGAACGATAGAGCTTTTGAGATTGTTGGGCTGCTTTATGATAACGGGTATTGTGTAAAGATGGAGAAGTTGGCTGAATCTCTTTACAAAGGCAACAAGTACTTAGAGGCACGAGATCTTCTGCTTTTTAGTTTGAAAAGGAATGAGACTTTGGATGCCGAAGTTCATGCCAGGGTTATTAACAGCCTTTGCGCAACTGGGAAAGCGGCAGAGGCATTTGAACTCTTCTATGCAGTGAATGAAAAGGGAAGCGGCTGTGTCATCTCTTCTTGTTTGAATGATTTAAGAGATGCCCTTGAGAAAATTGGGAAGTTTAGAGAGGCGGAGTTTGTTTCTAAACAAATGAACCGCTTGGAAACTGTACCTGATGGAGATAAGCTGATACGGGCACAAAATGACATGACGCACCGAAAAACAACAAATTTTAGAAAAATACAAAACCATAATGGCAATTATAAAGCAAAAGTGTCAAGTTCAATATCTGAAACAAGATGGCCTTACAAGCGAAGTGTTCATGCCTCATAGCTCACATATGTGAGACTTACTTCATTTCCATTCTTTTGACTGAGAGCCTTTTCAGACAAGGGTTCTATACAGGGCCTTGAAAATGTGAGAAATTTTTCAGACGATGAAGCTTTATGATAGTTATCTATAGCAAGAAAGATTTCCTGAATATGAAGAAGTTGGCGAAGGATCAAGAACATGGATCTCTGAAGGTAACCACCTGGATTTCTTATTTGTTACCTATTGTTTATGGTTAATATCTTATCTTATATGTGTTTCTCCAGTATTTAATTTTGGATGAAAACAATTTCTTGAGTGCTTACACCTATCCATCATTTTGTCAACCGACTGATTTCCATTTCAAAAATTTAAGGATAAACTATCAAATAATATTTGAATCCATTATTTTCCATCATATTCACAGCTGTTATATCTCAAATCTGTTAAGGCTGCGTTTGGGAACTTTGATTTGGATTTGGGAAGTTGATTTAAAATCAAGGGATTTTAAATTTAGGATTTGAAATCCATGATTTAAGAAATCTTTTGTTTGGATATCTTTATTAAATGAAAGGATTTGAAATCTTTGATTTCAAAATCTAGTGTTTGGGTACTTTATTACACATGAATTTAAATTTAAAATTGATGAAAATTTATTCTCTTAACCCATCTTGTTTACATCAAATGCAATTGAGATGTGTAAAATAGTAACCAAAAAACACAAATTTAGGTAATTTGATAGCTAAACTCATCTCTGATACTTTGCGAGGCCCCAGCAAACAGATAAAACACTTCATATAATAAGTATCTTTCAATTTTTGTATTAACGTACTTGGACGTCACTTTGATATACTCTCCACTAGTATCTTTCACAAAGACATCCAATAAAAGAGCAAATGTACCAAACCACAAACCATCAGATGCCAATATATTGGAGTATACTATAAGCCACAATCATTCACCATAGAAGCAAACACCACAACAAGAGACAATGAGAAACAAAAAAATGTGTACACTACAGGGGTTGCAATTTAAAAACGATACCACAGAGAGTATATGCAATTAACCCTTACATATAAGCCACAATCATTCAACAAAGCAGCAAGCTATATCAAATGACAATGAGAACCGAAAAAGGTGAGACCAAAGCATAAGCACTCTCAGCACAATATCACGCTTGACCTGCAAAAAAAAAACCCATAACGTTGACATTAGAAAAGCCTGAGACCAGGCTTATTGAGGCGCGCGCCTCGGGCGCGCCCCGGGCGCGGGGCGCTTCGGCCTGCGGGAAATGCGCCCCGCACGCGAGGCGGGGCGCTGCACGCAACGAGGCGTGCGCCTCGCACGCGCCTCGCACGCGCCTCACGTGCGCCTTGCTCGCGCCTCGCACGCGCCTCACGTGCGCCTCACACCTGCGTTATGTAACATACTCTTTCTTCTATTTTTTTAAATAATTTACATAATTACATATTTATATCATGTAATATACTCTTTCTTACTAGTTGCTAATCTATTTTCATCTTTTCATGTTTAACCTATAAAAAGGAAACAATAATTAGTAATTTAGTATACTTGTTTGCTAATTGTAACTTCATTCTCTAATTAGCATGCTAACTAGCAAATTATAAACATGTAAATATGTAATTGTTACATTCATTCTTCATCTTTTCATGCTAAGTAGCAAATATCAATTAAGAATACTAACTAGAAAATTATGAACAGTCATGTTTGTTAATTATATTTCTTAGTCTTTTATGTGACAATTTATAAACATATGCTCATAATTGTTAATCACTTAATTTGATGATTTAAATACATGTTTCTTGTATCTTTTTTATTACTTTAAAAATTCAGTTAGCATAATTTGATGATTTAAGTTGATATTCCAATAATTTTGGATGTAGGTAACTAATATGTTGCTTATATGTTTCTGTCTTATGATGTTGGCAAATATTAGTTTGAGTTATGCGCCTCAATTAGTGAGGCGTGCGCCTCGTTGTACGCTTTGCGCCCCGCATTGCGCTTTGCGCCCCGCATTGCGCTTTGCGCCTCGATAACACTGCCTGAGACTGCTTATGAGAAAAGCACACTGGATATGATCGTAAAAGGATTTGGACAAGAGAAACAATAGCTAATATCAGTTAAACCCATTGAAACTTGGCAATAAAAACATGAAAATCTGTGATCTGGTTTGGCTAGATGATATGTTTAAAAATTTCGATGCATCCAGAATGCATATTCACATAGATATGTTTAACAATAGCTAATATCACATTGTCTGCACTCTCTGGTTGCATCTCAATTTCAAATCAGAACTCTTGGTCCTTATTGCTTGCTGTGATAAGCTAAGTAATCAGTTTCAATGTGACATGCTAACAAGAGAACCATGCAGGGCATTTACCAAATGGAAAGATCAAATACTGGCTCTGTATATACATTTACCAAATGGAAAGATCAAATACTGGCTCTGTATATAAAATAAAAAGCTCAAGTCATCCAGATACACAAACCAGTCCCAAAAGCGTACCATTTACATAATATACATAAAGTTAAAAGCTCAAGTCATCCAGATACACAAACCAGTCCCAAAAGCGTACCATTTACATAATATACATAAAGTTTATATAAGATCTCATATATAAGATCTCACAATTTCATGGTACATAGCTCCGGCCAGGTAAAATGTAGCTCACTCATCAAGACCACAGAAATCTTACAGCTACCTAATTGCAGGCAACACAACTTTGCGACACATCTTCTATCAGCTTTCATGTCCCGTTTTCTATGTTTCCCGCAGGTTTTAGGGTAGTCTAGCAAAGAAAGGGTTTTAATTCATATTATCGTGTCTAAGATATTTCTCACAAGTTTTATCTCAAAAGGTCAATTTCCAGCATGTATTTTGTCTATTGAGCAAACTCACTAAGCAGGTCATACTAATTTCTCACACGATGCAACAAAGTAAATCCTTCTGTGAGCTTCGTTGAAATTTTGATCACATCAAATAAGCAAAATAAAACCAGACACAGACACTGAATTCAATTAGCTCCGTGTAAACCGTCACATATTTACATATATATCTCTTTCGACACCCAAGAACTCATATATTCAGTTTATTAACCCGATTACTCATCAAAACATGTAAGTTTCCTATGACCCAAAATAAGAAATCACGACATAACAAAATTAAAATAACAGTAAAATTACCTGCAATTGTTGACGGATGAAAAGGCAATCAGAAGAGCTTAAAGAAGTGCTCAATTTGCGGCTTGGAGTTCTTGCTGAAAAGAAAAAGCACACAAACCAGAATGAGAACCTCAACACAATGAAGACCTGTTCAACTTACTAACGAAGACCCCTTAATAATAAGGTTCTCTAAAATGCATACAAAACAAGTAACCAACCTTTGTACCTACAAAAAAAAAGAGATAAATTACAGGAAAATCCCCTGACATTTAATCACCTTTGCACATGAATATTCTTTTCAAAAAAAAAGAGATAAATTACAGGAAAATCCCCTGACATTTAATCACCTTTGCACATGAATATTCTTTTCATTTAAGTTTTGATCCTCAAGTCGAAAATCCCCTGACATTTAATCACCTTTGCACATGAATATTCTTTTCATTTAAGTTTTGATCCTCAAGTCGAAGTCCCTGGCATGGTTTGGTTCACATCATTTACGGATTTAAATCAAAATCAGAATGATGGAGATAGTTGCTAAAATTCTATGTAGACAAGTCATCTTTTGGTATACGGAGGATTGCAGCAGTAGGGATTGGCTGACAATTTTTTGAAATTAGGAAAAAATGCAAGAACTCTTAGTTAGTAGAGGACAAATATTTCCTCCGTCTAACATCACCATCAAACTAATTAAGATAAAACCAAAGTTTCAACTGAAGATCCACACTAGTTAGTAGTAGTGTGTACTCCTTTGATACTCCTTTGAAGAACTCTTGCTTTGTTGTGGATAGAAATATTTCCGACTGAGAATTCAAACTCATGCTATTAAATGCAAGATGTAGCAAGAAAGTTGCGTGCACGAAATTGTAGTGACCTTAAAAAGATGGTTCTCCCATAGTTTCCTTTAATAATAACAATTTTAAAACTTGTCACCAAAAAAATTATTCCAAAGGTCCAAGCAAATCGCTAGCTGATCTTACTCAAATTAGTCCCAAGGAATCCAGCATCTGTTAGAGCTTCAAGCAAATCGCTAAATTTTATATTCCATGTAACTGATTAAAAAACAAACGGAGATTTGAAGATCAAGGGTTAATTAATCAAGCCCTAATTTCCAGTTAGAAGCCCCCAATACTCCAAATCTAAGTATTAATAAACAAACCCACATCTAATTCACAGCTAAAACCAAACAAAATCGAAGCTCTATCGAATTATTTCACAAATTGAAGGCACAAATTAGAGCAAAACCCTCGGAAGTTTCGGGGGCAAATGAAGATCTATACCTGTAGACGACGTCAGGTTGGGACTTGAAACCAGAGAGAGAGGCAGGGGGGAGAGGGGGAGAGGCGGCGGCAGGAGGGGGGAGGCGGCGGCGGGGGGAGGCGGAGAGGGGGAGATTGAAACCAGAGAGAGAGAGAGAGAGAGAAAGAGGGGATCGCGATTTGGGAAGTCCTCAAATGATCGGGTCGGGATTTGATAAATGACAATGGTTGGGGTGGAATTTGAAATCAGTTATTTTGGGCTTTCAAATTCCTCTTTGTTAAATCAATTGATTTAAAATCTAGATGTAAATCAGAATCCAAACTAGATATTTGGATTTGAAATATCCTGGATTTTAAATCCAGGCCCAAATCCAAGTTCCCAAACACACCCTAAAGGTATTTCATCTTTATTTCTTTACCCGCATAATATTGATTCTAAAAGGCCACACATTTCTTTGATTTTAGCATAAGCAATGTTTCTGAATGCATTCAGGGAATTTTAGATGCTGTACCAGATGATGAAATGTATTTACCCATATGATATTGATTTCGAAAGTCTTAGCGTTTCTTTCTCTCTCAAATATAAGCGTTTCTTCATATTTAGAGATCTTCAATGCGGTATCCAGCCCATTCCTCAACAAATATCTCTTGAACCTTTTCTCAAAAAAAAAATATCTCTTGAACCATACATAAATTTTCCAAATGCAATGCATCTATCATGATTAAATCATCAAAGAAGTCCTTTTTCAGCTAGAATAAGCCACAACGACACATTTGTCTGATTCTTCTTGTACTTCGGCCTCTTTATGGTTGGTGACTATAACTTTTGACTCTGACTGAACTTAACTGGCTCTGGTGCAGGTATCATACACGTTTTCGTAGTCACTACAATTATATACCTTGAAGAAAAGACACATGGAAGAAACTTTATAATTGATCTATAAACTCAAGCGATGAGCTATTCCTTTCTCGTCGATAATGCCTTCTTCTCTATTGCAGTCTGCTAACAGGGGACACCCTCTATATGGAAACCATAATGGACAAAATGCAAATTCTTCTACGCTTCAACGACGATTGTCTAAGACTTGCACATGACCTTTTAAGTGTATTTTATAATGATTGCCTCATTAAAGTCATATCAAATGTTGCAGAGACCTTTTGGTCTATGGAGATTGGAGAACTACCACTGACTAGAAACCATGCATTTTCTCCGCTTGTGGTACAGGTAAACAACCATCATAAGCTTATTTGTTAACCTGTGTGAGCTTCTACGTTTTGATTTTTCTAGTGCTCATCTACTCGTTTATTTTTATGGTACTTATCCACTCATCGATTGATTTTGTGACATTACTCTAGAGAAGACTGTGTAGCAACACCTATGGAATAAGATTCAATATCACCATCGTATTCGCCATGTTCCACAAAAAGTAGTTCATTATAGCGCACAACTTCAAGTTCAACAGATTCCATGATCACGGTTGGTTTCTTGTTCTGTCTATACAATTTCCGTTGCTTTCTAATTTCTTTATTCCAGGCTTGGTTCCTATTTAGAAGTCCATGGAGTTCATAAGATGATTCCACAGCAGCTTTTTTTTGGGGGGTGTTGGTAGGGGGTGTAATTCTACAAAGAGGTTAATGTGATTCCTTTTAGTAATTATCTTTCTCTTCATCTTGTTCATGGAGTTCATAAGATCACGATTCCACTTTTTTTTTCTTTAGGATAATTATACAAAGAGGTTAATGTGATTCCTTTTAGCAAACATTTCTTTAATCTTCCTCTTCATCTTGACTTCTATCTCATTTACGGATGGTTAATGAGGTTCTTTTCTTCACAGTTTTTCAATTTTACAGGGTATAAGAATTTTCTCATACTTGCTACTTGGCTTTCTATATCCTGTTATCAAACACTGCCATGCTAATAGCTATCCTGGCTAGAAACTTGTGCTTTTGCCATAATATAACTGCAGTTTAAATTTGTCATAGTTATGCTTGTTTTTTAATCTTTTTTATTTATTTATTTTTTATTTTATCTTTTTTTTCTGTAGGTCAGAAGAGTAGGATTGACCCTCAATCTAATGCCCCTTTCCTGTATTTTTAATTACCTTCAATGCTACTTTCGCTCCATGAGAGGTCTACGAATCCGGAGGAAGCTTTCAAGTGAAAGCAGGATACGGACAATTGGCAGCATTTCCTGATTATCTTTGAATGGACAAAATGTATGAGAAATGTGTATTAGTTGTCTTGTTATTCTTCGTGCACTCTTGCTTAGCTTACAATAACATGCACAGCACAAAAATTTACCATGAATAAAAACTTGATGCTTGATGATTGTTTGGAGTTTCTCAACTGAGAATTACGCGTTCATCTCAATTGTCATTTGATGGATAGAAGACTTGTTTCTCAATAGTACCGAGCAAGTGGTCTTACTCAAGCTCATCTTGAGTTTTACTAATGAAACGGAGGAGGAACTTCCCCTCTATTGCATTTTTATTCTTTCCAATAGCACTACAATCACTTTGAACAAACACATGTACCCTTCATATATCCCCTTAAAACTAAAGAAGAAAAAAATAAAAATGTGGGGGGAAAAGTGTTTGCTAAAAACCCTACTAAATTTACAGGAGAGCGGTCTTTAGACCAAAGCCCTTTTCTCTTCTAGCTCTTGGGATTCTTCTTCCTCCTGTTGTTCCTGCTGCTGCTGAATTTTTGCCTTCCGAGAACTTGAATCATTTTCTGGTAGAAGCTTGAGAGTAATTCCCATGGCAATAAGCAAGAGTCCCGTTCCATGCTGCCCCGTCAAAGGCTTGGTAAATATCAAATATGACAGTAGAAGCGTTACTGCTTTCCTCGCTGTGGTTATCTGAGAACAATATATATCACCAATAAGCAAACTAAAACAGTTTGCAAATATACGTACATGTTTAGAAGTGACAGAGATATCATTATACCATCGCTGTGGTTGCAGCCCCGAATATTGCAATTAGGGACAAAACCGATACTTGACCGACAAATGTGGCCATCGCTTCAAAAATCAACACACCATAAACATATGGATGCTGAAAGTTCAGAGAGAATTATATGAGCCAAATAGAAACAGATATCACATGACTGATACTTGATAGTTAAGATGAATGGTTGTATTCTGTTGATTTTCCACAAATTGTCAGTCTTGTTGGGTAGAAAGTCAATGTTTCTTTAAAAAAAAAAAAAAGGTTTCAGGTTCAACCTGCAGAAGACCAAATTCACTAAAACTCAGTTCAGTCTTATTTATATAAATGATTATTGAAGTTTTCCAATTGAAATAACTCATATAGGTATGTACACACGAATCTCACTCTACCTTTAAAGTTAAAGTCTTAAAGACTCTACCTAAAATTTGGCCAAATCGAAACATCAATAAGCTAATTGTGGTGATTTGTAAAAAAAAATTGAGCAATTGGCAAAATTTTCTTTTCGAAGACTGAAGAAAGAACTTGACTAATTAAAAATTGATGAGAAGGTACCTTAACACGCACAAATTACTATTTCTCGTTGGCCGACGGTAGTTTTTTGGATGGAAGGAACAAGGAATATTACCTGAGAGCAGGAAGACCATGCCCTGAGCAATTCTCCAGTCAAAACCATGGGTGGGATCAACATAGGCAACCCAACAACAGTTGAACAAAATAGCATTTCCATCTGTTCAGACAAAAGCTCCCACTCTTAGCATGGACACCAATGAAGAAGTACAACAATAGAAACATAAACCAAAGGACCACATGCACAAGTGATGTTTTTTTTTTAAGTTCATCAGCCTGAATTTTTGGTTTTGTTCGCTCAGATGGAGACTCCCACCGTTTGGCTAAATTTTTTTTAGGATATTGATGTTTTCTTCATGCTGGCATTTGTTACCTAGCCTCCTACAAAAATAACTATTTTCAATTATGTAACTTTTGTATGAATCACCTGAGTTGTTTCGGGATTCATCGTAAAGATGGCTTCTTGCAGGTTACCAAGAAATGAATCCATGACGAGGGCACCACATACCATCACGACACCAATAACACTGAAATTAGGTGAGGTGTTAGCATCCGCTAAAGTGAATAGGATCAGACCGATCACTAGAAGAACTGCTGAAATGTATTCATGGGCTGGATATTTCCTCCGAAGTCCGGGAATAAAAGCCCCCATTAGCATAACCGGCAACACCTAAATTAACCAACAAGAAAACTGGTTTATATAAGAAAAAAATATTACAAATCCAAGTTTCATAATTATTTATGCTTGTTGAACATCCTATGTTAACAAATATGCTAACGATGAAAAGACGTTAGTATTGCATGTTGGAATAAAAGAAACCTAAAATTACAGATAAAATGAAGAAAAGGACTACATTACTTCTTAAAGGAGAACAGCATGCCAATTTTCTACAATTGATCTGTAACTTCTTAGCAATATTCCAGTTATCATAGTAAGGACGAATTAAACAGTAAATGTAAGGTTGTTATCAAAGAAAATGATGGAGAGGAATGAGAGGAAGGGAATCAAAAGATATAAATGCAGTTCCATTATATCATTTTCTCTTCCCCTAAATGGTGAAAATATTCAATGATCCGCATGAATAGAATTTACTTTGAAGGATTGGAATTCTTCCGCCATGTGCAAGTAATGATGATGAATTCTTTTATATTTACACAACCTAAATTGAAGGAACAATATCTTGCATAGATCAAAACAATCCAATTGTTCGATAACTATTCAACAATGAATTTAATTTTCTCAATACCAGATCGAGGAAAGAATAAAGATGAGTATGGGTCATTAGAAAGTGATAGGCAAAGTAAAACACAAGAAAAGAAACCTAATGAAATGCCACTCTCTTCTTTCATTTTTGCTACCTAAAGTTGGAGGAGGAAAGTTTCAATAATTTCGAAAACAATAGCAATCAAACTTAGCTTGATTTTATTACAATTATCCCCATTAGCCAATCAAGATAATGCAAATCCAATCTCACTTCCATTTTGATTTAGTCCTAGCAAGAAAGTTTGCGAAAAACATGCATGGTTGCGAACAAGGGAGATAATGTGAATGCAAACCTTGGTAGATTTGAACATGAGCTGAGCAGGGTAATTAAGGAAAGCCAAAGATCCTTTGGTGAGCCCATGAGATCCCATAAGAACCGCTGAAAGCTTAACATATGTCTTCCATGGATTCACCATCTGCTTCACTGTGAATCCTTGAAGATATACCAGCCCTAAGTAAACAAATCCTTGCACAAATGTGAAGTACCAACCATAACTACAAAAAATAGGAAACAAAGAATGAATCAGAAAATTAAAATAAACCCGATAATTAAAATCAGATTACAGGTTCAAAGATTTAATCTCACCTAAACTGCAACCTATTATAGACATATTCCTGAAATATGGGCAAAAAAAGACTTTAATCAAGAAGAGAAACCCAGATGAAAATTTTGATATCACAAGGAAAAAAAAGTGGATACCAGATGTTACTGAAAGTCTCTGCATGCAGTGAGAAAAACCCAAGAAATCAATGGTTAAATAAACAAATTCCCATACCTCACAAATACCATTGACAAGATAGCCAAAAAAGAATCCAGAGGAGCAAATGAGAAATTGCTGCCATTTTGGCCTATCACTCAATGAAATCCCAAACAGAGACCTTGACTGCTCCTCTCTCTTCATCATTCTCTCTCTCTCTCTCTCTCTCTCTAAAAAAAAAGAAAACAGAGAGAAGATAGAGAGAAAACTAATAGAGCAGGGGAGGGGAGAACTTAAATGAGAATAATAATAATAATAATAAAGAAGAGAAGGGCGAAGGCAAAAGAGAGAAGCAAAGAATCCCAAGTTACTCTCTTTCTTAATTTGGAGGGGAAATTTCTATTGATTAGTCTCTGTTTCCGTATTTACTCTGTTTTTTGGGGGAGGGAATCAGGGGGTTGAACCTTCCAAACTGTATACAATATTTTGCTTATTTAGTATTTTTATTTGGTTATATCTCTTGATATTGGGAAATTACTTCCTTGTCCTCTGACGCCACTTCATCGAGGAGGGGTGACCGTGAATCTGATCGCAATCCTACGCAGATAAGATGATATCAGCTTTTGTACATTTGTGTTGTGATGTAGTAATGTTCCTACTCTCTCTCATAGCGGCTCACGATTGTACCTGCCACAATCAGCTTCAGACTTGGCCACGTCTAGCGAGGAGCTGTGTGGGTTTTTTTTTTTTTTTTTGGGGGGGGGGGGGGGGGGGTAGTTCCCTCCAAAAATTTTCAATGGGCATAAATTATGAATTATCTTTCTAAAGTTGACCGGAAACAATTGGGACGGGACGAACGACCCTTTTCTTTCTTCAACTTGGGTAACGAAAGATTTGGCTGAAAAGAAAGGGTGCCACATAATTTTCTTTTTTTTCCCTTTCATTGTTAGAATGATTGTTGTCCTCGTTTCTTTTTCTTCAGTTTGGTTAGCTTATGATTTTTAGGAAATAAGTCTAAGAACCCTCTGCCACGTCAAAATAACAAGAAATTTCCATCTCCGGGTTTGCTAGGAAATGAGGTGAAAATATGATTAAAAGTGAATTAAATAATAAGAAATGTAAAGTTGGGAATAGTTGGGAACGTGTTAAATAATGGAGATGTGATAGTTAGGACTTTTATCAATTGTAAGTTTTTTTTTTTTTGTTCTTTTTTCCCCTCATCCAAACAATAGAAAATGAGAAAATCTATTTTCACCCTTGATTTAGGGGTGGAACAAAGAAGAAAAATCTATTTGTTTGTTTGCTCAAAAAAAATCGGAAATGTGTCCTTAAAGGAATTGGAAAAACCTCACTTTCAACCAAAATTCATAGTGTGTTTGACAACTCATTAGAAATGGGCCAAACTTGATCATTCGACCAAAATCATGAATTTTAACTAAATACATTATTTGGCTAGTATTTTTTTAATCATAAAATTAGAGCTGTCATGTAGAATTAATGCATTAATTCTAATTCCCTAAAAATATGCTAATTTCACTCTGATTTTTACTGAGGCTTATGTAAAAAGGAAAAGGGAGTGATATTATATCATATCCTCAACAAATTCATGTTCAGCCAAACAAGAATTTTTTGCTTAGATTTGTCATTCATCAAATCCTCTTTAATATTCATACAAACAAATAAGATTATGAATATGAATTTTTTAGATCCACGACAGCATCAAAAATAATGCATGAACTAGACAACCCTTAAATTAGTTGTGGACCAACTCCTTCTTGGTTCATAACTAAACCAGTCCAAAAATAAACTAAAAGCAAACATGGCCATTTTTGGTCCAATTTTTGTCAATCAACAAAATACACTAAAACTGAAACATGTTCAAACATGAAGTAGTTTTAAAGAGTTGTGTAGAGCTATATATGGGTGTATTACAGTAAGTGTTTTTTTATACGACGCAGAACTTTTTTCGAACGAAATTCAAAGCTTACTTTAGGAAAAATAAAACCAAGTAGTATAATTGATTTGTTTGAAGAATAAGTTTTACCTTTTTGTTTTTTCATTATCTGATTCTTTTGTTGCTAAAAAAATCTCATTCTTTACATGTTTGAGATCTCGTTTGTTTATTGATAGCATCTTTATTTATTCAGTACCCAGCAAGTATGGACAGTTGATAGATTTTCGCTTAATAACCTACTATTGTGAACACCGTGCAAAGCATGATATTTTTTCCCTGCTACAGTAATCCTGTTTTTAACTGCTACATGTTGTTTGATTTTTTTGGGATTGCTACAGTCTTCCCGACTGCTACAGTAATGTTTTTTCCCAAAAAACACAACGTCCAGGTTCGTGTTTGCTACAATAATAATGCTACAGTAAATACTACTTTAGCATTTATTATAGTATGAATACTGATTGTTGGGTTCTCTCATTTGTATAGAGAAGTAGAGTATTGTAAAGGGTAACAAACTAATAAATAATTACCTTACTATGTATGTTTCTGACGCAACGCGGAAGTGATAACCTCGGAATCCACCAAGGGTGTTCTCTGAATCCACAAAGAACGATCTTCAAATCCACTGATAACCTCGGAATCCACCAAGGGTGTTCTCTGAATCCACAAAGAACGATCTTCAAATCCACGAAGAACTTCGAATCCAGTGTTCTCTGAATCCACAAAGAACGATCTTCAAATCCACGAAGAACTTCGAATCCACGAAGAAAATATTAAAAAAGAAAAATTTTATTGATGAAAAGCTATTCTTCTTTGGGATTACATGACTCTTTTTAAATAGATAAAACAAATAAGACCCCTATTAAAACTAGAATTATAAAAATAGAAAGTATCAAGTTCTATCCCAAAAAAGACTCCCTATAATATATAAAGGAAACAAATCATGAATCAAAATTGATTTTGTTTCCTAATCTAATTTGACTCTAAAATTGAATTTATTTTGAATCAAAATTGATTTTGTTTCCTAATCTAATTTGACTCTAAAATTGAATTTATTTCCTAATCTAAAAGACTCCAACTTTATTTTGACTCTAAAATTGAATTTATTTCCTAATCTAAAAGACTCCAACTTTATTACTAAAAATAAACTAAATGCTGATTATTTTCGGATTATTACTAAAAATCTGACAATCTGGTTGGCTCCGTCTCGTCAAGATAGGTGATTTACATATATAATATGTCAGCATCCGTCCTCCAGATTGAAAGATATGATTATTTCTTTGTGAAAGTATAAATCTATATTTAGCTCATAAATATCCGAATCATCCATTAAATTTTCTGTTAAGCGTCCTGCATCAGTTTCTGACCATGGTTTTGATAATAATCGGGATTTTTCTGCGAGAATGTGGAAAACATCGCCCGCGTGGAAAAATGTCGACTCCCAGAACAGAACGCTGTCACGTGTTGAATCGCGCCGATTATTAAAAGCTCTTTATTCATTTTTTTTTTTTGTCGTTCTATTTATACGGTGACAGGCATTCAGCAAAACTTTCTTTTCCAATAAATTCTCTGCAACTGAGTTAGCACCTGAGAGGTAAGTGGGACCCTCTGTAGCCTAATATTTCCCTTTTATTGGGCTATAATTGGGGGCTCATGTCCGGTATAGTAAAAAAAATATTAGCAATGTAATCTAATAAGTTCGAAAATTAGTGTAGTAAAATATCAAAAAATGGTTCTTTATTGTGTATCATTAACATGGTGATAAGATATACTACTTCTTTGGATAATAATCTCATAATTTGGTGTGGAATCACTGTGGCAATATGTTTTTTATTCGGATTTGTTTGATTATGTGTTGAAGATGCCTGGGATTTTTTGGAGATTTATTTTATTTAAAATATTAGTATTTACTTTGAAAATTATTATTATTATTTCAAACAAATAATACCATCATGAACTGAAGGATTATTAAGTTTACTGGGATTGATGCATATAGGTTCAGATCAATTGGAAAAGAATATGCTTGATTGACAAAATATTCTTCACGTTTATATAGTAGGTAGTGATCGAGTGTTCTCGAATTACAAAGACATAATGACCAACGAGAAGATTGTTAGAGCATAAAGCTATATTGCTTGATCTTTATTGAAGCTTGACGCGGCGAGAAGAACATTCAACATGGTGCCTAAGCAACCGAGTTTAAATCCCACGGTCATGAATTTCAAACAGATTCAATACAAACGCCACTGCATGAGCCCATGTTTCGGCCCATGAAAAGTTATTGAACCTACGAGAACATGTTAGAATATAAGACTATAACTCCCAGCTTCTGCTACAACTTCAAAGTTTTAGCACGATGAAAGGATTTTAACATGGTAACGGATCAACATACGTTCAATTTTGCCCATTTTGCTCTCGCCCTTGGGTTTCGCCAAGGCCAGAATTTCATAAGTAGGGATTATGTGAAGTCTGTTGTGGTTACTGTGTCCAGTGGTTCTACACGCGCATAGCTTTTTAGGGAGGCTGCTCAGGACTGAGGAATGTTGCAGGCCTAGAATGAGATCTCACTCTGTTTTTTTTTTTTTTTTTGGTTCCCTCTTTTTGTTGGTTGTAGCTTGGTTTTAGCCTAATGCATGTTGTTTGTTCAGTAATCATTAAGTTTGCAGATACAGAAACTCATTGCTGAAAGGACCATGCTTTAGGTCTTTTGTAACTGCCAAATCTGGCATTTCATTTCATGTCTTTATCAAGTTGAGAATCTCAGCGTTTGAATCAATTCAGAGAAAAAAAATTGTTGGAGAAACAATCCCCGATTCCGATCTGCGCAACCCAAAAATCAAACCATAAATTCACACGATAGAAATAACAAGCAAGAAGAAGAAAATCAAGATTTAACGTGGTTCGGTCGACCAAGTTCGACCTACATCCACGAGACAAATAACACGAGAAATCTACTATGTAAGAGGAAGTACAGTACAAGAGAATCACTCATCTCTCATCTTCTCTCAACTTCACATTCTTCCTTCATGTTCTCTCCAAAGCCCCAAACTCTCATCTCATCTTTCTCACACAAGTTGATACTTATATAGTGCTAAACCCTAGGATAAACTTGGCCCAAAAGCCCACCAGGCTTACAGCTCATTGGATGCTAAACGGATATATCCCAATAAAAATAACAAACATGTACACTAATCTGAAGAAGAGATAATCATATAATAAAATAGCAAACATAGTAACATACCGACAGTAGCCGTTGCAAGGTTGAAGCCAATGAACAAACCAAGTCAAGCATCAGAATAATTTGAGGAAAAAGATAAACACGCTTACAAAGGAATCAAGAACTTCAATACCGTCGCTAAATATTCAGAGCAAGTTTGTTGTAGTGCATGAATGATTGTGTGAAAACATAATCCTTAGCTATCCATGAATAACTTTATACAATCCAGACAATAACGTCACCATGTTTACAAGCCCTTCACTGAGAAATGAACAAGAATATCAACAGCTTAAAACAACCAATTGTACAGAGTTACCCTTGGATAAACGGTTGCCTTGATAAAAGAGCAAACACCAAACTTCTCAAGGTATAACCAGATGAGCGGCCAAAGTCAAAGCAGTTTGGCACTCAAACATGCGCGAAATATGTAGCACCAGTAACCTAATCTCTGTTAGTATCGTGGATGATGATGATGATGATGATGATGATATCCCTGTATCTGCCCCTATTACTCTCATTTCACCTTTTTAACCAAAGTTGACGTTCGGTATTCAGCATCAGACTTGATGAAGCTCCACCAGAGATATGTGAGAGGAATTGTGGCAGCATGCCAAAGTGCGTGGGCATCAACATACCCATTGTAGGGAGGAAAATCGTAAATCTCTAGAAGCATACTCAGAGACCCTCCGATCACAACTGTCCAAAGCTTAAACCGTGAAGGGTGGTGAGACATGGCAGCCCAAACTGCCCACATAAGGAGCTGACCAGCAGCCATCGCAACACAAACCTTCATGTTCCATCCTGTACATTCAGGGAGAAATAAAAATGAGAGAACCAAAGAATAACTCTTTATAAAGTCATCTAGACATGATTTCATATATGAAGCTAGTGTTTGATAACAAAGATAATTTAATGCAAGTGAGCTGTATCCGAGAAAATAACATATAGTTTCAAATGAGTGAATAACAAATCGACAACCCAACTTTATATTTCACAGATTTAGGACCTGAACTATTGATATATTCAGAGCTCATCTTGGGTATTCCGAGATGTGTGCAGAGAAGCACAATGACACATTATATTTTATAGGGTAAACCATAGTTGCATGGTACTATGTTCGTTCCTGCTCACGGGACAGGTACGGGAAAGCGGTACGCGACTCGTTAGGAATCAGGTACGAGAGGAGTAGGCTTATCCGATATGTCAGGGAACGTGGTACGCTTTAGGTTTGTTTCTGAAATGCCAGTTGATATCAGTAATGGTCAAAGAACCTTAAGAATCATGCTGCAATTAAGATATGCATACTTTATTTGCTTAATTTCTCATGTTTTCGTTGTTTGTTCTCTTAAAAAGAGTTATTTTTTCTTTAAAATTTAACTGGTTTGCATTCTAAATTGGGTTGTTGGAGTTCGTGAATGGGGTCGTATTCTGCACAAATCTGGGATGATTGAACGGGTTGTGGTTCACTGTAGTGTACGATGTTTTCGACTTCCATGGGGTAAGCTGCAAATAATCACCCTCATTCATACATTCACTTGCACTCATCACCCCTCAACTAGCAGCACTTGACACCCTTGCATCCATGAGGGACAGGGGGTTATTTTGTATTATTCTTCTCAAAATGTGAATCTAGGGGTTAGGTGCTAATAAAAAGTGAGGGATGATAAGTGGAAGTGATAGTATATATGAACAGGTTATCTGCAATTTACCCTATTTTATATACTAAATGCAAAAATATGCACAAACGAGCACTACTTTCACCTTGATTGATTTCTAACATAATAGAGATAATCTAGCCGCTTGATACATATAAATAAAAAAAAACAATTTCTCAAAAGGATGCCAGACCTTCTGGCTGCACTAAATCAAAGCATGGACCTGATTTAAAGATATAACAGAGCATGCGGAGAGAGTCAACTCACCATAGTCAAGTTCATAGAAGTTGAGATATAGTATGTGTGTCGTAACAAAGGCTAAAATGGGGGCCGCAAACATGATTCTCATGGCCTCATCCTTCACATTAAAAGTTCGCAATAGAGCCAGAATGAAGGAGAATCCAAGTAAAGCCACAGCGGATGAATAATCCAGCTTCTCTGTCAAATCAAAATCTCTGTAGAACATGATAAATAACCATCAGAATGGAAGGCAAAGAACTTATATTCTCATAGCTATCTACTTTCAGTTTTATGGAAAAGGAGCTACAAACTTACCGAGAATGGAATATAGCACTCCAAAACCATGCATTCATAGATAAAAGCCCATAGATATGCCATAATCCAGTATATTCATAGAACGTTTTCTTACTTTGAGGCGTAAGAGGCAACTTATAATTTACCAATAGGAAGAAAGACAGCCAGCCAGTGAAATGCATGATTAAATTGAGTGCAGAAAGTGCAGCAGAGACAGGCTCCTGGACAGAACTAGTATTTAACAAGTAGAAACATAGGTTGCCATGCAACCAGAAGGGGGAAAAAGAGAAATACGGAAAATTCATAGTTTAAGGATTTTTATCAAAAACATATACTAATGACAAACCTGAAAGACATGGACACGTTTGAATGGCCATTTTCCATGATACTTCACAGGACTCAGGCCTAGTTTTCCCCTCTCACTTTCTCTTTGCATCATACAGTGATAACGGCAATCACTCCTGCAGTTTAATTGTATCCATTGCAGGTAGAGTGGTTCTTGCATGTACCATGAACTGTTGAGAATCTCATCTGAGAACTGGCAATGCAGGATGGAGATGTCTCCAATAGCTCCAGTCTCTTCACATTGTTTGACACAATTTCTGGTATCGCAAAAAGATGTTAACCATAAACACCAGAGCAAAGGTTGAAAGCATCTGAGTTGTAATATCAACACAAAACATCAAATAGGTTTTGCTAATTCTTGAAAGTTCATCAGACAAATAAAGCCATGATCAAAATATAAACATCTACGTGAACACCTTATGTAGACTTCTTTAGAAGAAAATGAAGGGGATTAACCTGGTGAATATAGTTTCTCCCATCTTATTAATTCTTATACAGTATTTTACAAATAAAAAAAAGCCATTAAGAAATATAAAAGCTAGAAACTCCTTTTGCAACCTTTTTGACACGTAGCGTGCATGCATAAGAAGGAAAAGACTTAGTTATTAAAATTCTCTAACTTATACCGTTCTACTTACGTTGCAGATATAACTTGTAGAATATTGTAGACATAACTCGTACAAGGCTCCAACATTAAATCAACCTCAAACCCACCTTTCATACATTTAAAAATCCATTCTGTTACGACTTATCACAGAATCTGCACATGATATCTTACCACCAAAATACCTTTAAGAACATGAAGGAGCTAAAATATTTTTATAAAGTAAAGAACTTACTAAAGCAATTAAATGTAATAATCCTACTTACACTCAACATCTTAAGTGTATAACTCCAAGAGTTGATAGCTCAATTTTAAAAGTAAAAATTGTCCCACACTACTGGATTTGTTGAACCATATGATCTTTTCCAAGATAACACTAGACAAAGGTAACCCCCCACCCCCCACCCCCGAAAAAAAAAACAACAAAAACAAAAGAAAAACCCACTTTTTTAAACATTCCTTCCAACCCTACTTCCCACTCTTTTATATGAGTACTAATAGTAGCCTTCTCTCCATCTACAATCCGCCACCCCCAACATCCATCTTCTTCCATGAAAAAAGTATCCTATCGGACTCTGAAACTCTAACCTCGTGTCCCCTATCTACAATTCCCCTATCTACAATTCCCCTATCTACAATTCAATCTATCTTTTTTTAGTTTGAAATTTCTTCTTTGCTGCTCTTGATGATATTTTTACCTTTAATAGTAGACAAATTGAAATAAATACTAGACATATTCACAAAAAGTTAGTTGTACTAAAAATAGAAAGGTTGACATGTTCACAGAAACACAGACAAATTAAAATAGAAGGTAGATAGATTCATTAAAGGTTATACTAGAATAGAAGATAGATAGATCATAGATTCAAAGAAAGGTAGTGCATACAGATTCACATACAACTAGACATATTAAGCAAAAGGTAGACCAACACATGTTCCACCAGCTAAGAATCTAGCACATATGTCGAGATTTGACTTCAAAGTGAATAGCACATGCTACAATTGCCTATTTTTTCAAGGAGCCTTGTACTCAAATTGTGTACCCCATTTTGTCACATAATAGTCTAATATGATTTTTCTCACAATCTACTTTTATGTGATAATGATGATAGTTTACCTTAAGTATAAATGATTTATGATTTAGCTCGTTATTGATGCATCCTAAAAGAGAGCTATGTTATCAAATAGAGCTAGATTTTCTTTTGATGAGGGTGCAGGGATCCTAACATTTGGGTTTGATTTATGATTTGGCTCATTATCAATCCATCCAAGGAGAGGGTTATGATATCAAATCGAGCTAGACTTTGTTTAGATTAGAGCACATGGTCCTTTTGTTTGGGTTTAGTTGATGATTTAGCTAGACCGTTACATCCAAGGAGAGGGTTATGGTATCAAGGACACAAGGGCCCTACGGCCCCTACCGATTAAGAGAGTCATGATTTATCTAAAGTGAGGACATATGGGTTCTATGCCGGAAAAGGATCACGATTTTTTATCTCCTTTTCATTAGCATAAGGGATGACAACGACATGAAACAGGTCTGAATAGTGAAATCATCATGAATTAACCGTCTATCAAACAATCGTGTTGAAATTGCTCCTTGGTCTGCTTTTTGGTGGAGTCATTTCTATTTAACTATTTTGGAATCATCTTCATGTTATGGTATGCATTTGAATTCTTTTCGAAGAAGATGATGGATGAGAATGTGAATTATAGTGCATATCCAACTCAACTATGCGTCGCTATGATGGCGTGCACAAGTTGTTTCTAAATATGAATATGTATCATGTTTTATCTTTTTTTTTCCACAAGAGATCGAACTACATGCGAGTTTTCATATATATTTGAACCATTCTAGCTTGTATCGAAAAGCTGGGTGAGATAAGACCTCATAGCTTCTCTAAAAAAATGATTACTACGGAATCATATGGTATGCATTAAATGTGTTGAATTTCCATCCTCACATATCAGTCCAAAAGACAAAACATCCAAACGTTTCATACCATCCTTATAATTTGGTTTTTGAATCCAAAGTTTCAAACTATATGCTTCTTTACTTTGAAAAAAAAAGGGTGCTGAAGACAAATAAACCAGCTAAATACACAAAATTCTCCATCAACTAAAAATTTAATATAGAGCCAGTTCCCTCATTTTTCCTCTCCTTTTCCTACTTTTTCATCTCTTGCCTATAAGCGCCCATAACTTGCTAAAAACTAGAAGTTAGACCTAATTTCATAGAAATTCAACAGATCATAACGAGAATCAACAAGAGTAAAGAAAAACGAAAAATTAAAAAGATCAGAATTTTACCTGTAAAGGGGATCAGCATCGCCAGCACTGGCGTCGGTCGATGCGAAGAGAAATCCAAACGCTAGCAGCAAACAACAGAACCAATGGCTCATCGTCATCTCAGAAGCGAAGGTGACCAGAACTCGATCAGCTCGCAGCGGATCCAGTCGATCGAAGATTTTCGATTCGAAATCCCTAACCCTAGCTAGAGATTCATCGGAGGTTGGATTTAACACAGAAATTTCGACGAGAGGAGAGAGCGTGTGTGATATACGAATTAATTTTTCTAATGATTTTTATTTTTATTTTTTTGTTATTTATTATTATTATTTTTGTCCCCTCCTTGACCTGCTACTTTGCTGTGCTAACCTGCTACTAATAAATGAGATTCAATCAGTTTGTGTGGACCATAGAGAATTAAAACTGGGTCTTTTTTTTTTCTTTTTGATAGAAAAATTGGGTCTTTAATATACTTTTTTTACTTCATTTACGAACGAAAATGAGAGATGATTGAAGTCTTCTTTAAGTACAGCCATCATTTAATAATCTGAAGAAATTTCAACAAAAATGTCAATTTAAGTATCCATTATTCAATAATCAAAGAGATTTCAACACGATTTCTAGATAAATTTTCAAAAATGACGATTAGGAAAAAAAATATTTTTTTAATACTACGAAGAAAAGTGTCGCTGGAGTGCTGCTACAGGGACCCCAAAATAAGAGACTTTGCATGGGACAGATGAGGCGTCACCTCCCTGTCCCACTCAGGGTCCTCTATTTTGGGGGTGGCTGAGGTATTTTTCATGTTGGAATAGCCAATCAAAGAGATTGGAGAAAATTATTAATGAAAGGTCAGTGCAAATAGAAATGAACAAAGAGGAATAAAACGAATAAAAAAGTTAGAGAGGTCATTGTCCTCTATAGCCAGCGTCAATTTGATTGACAAAGTCAAAATAAGGATATTTACAGACTATTGACTTTTCCATAAAAATTTCAATAGCCGTGTATTTTTCAAACTTTGATTTTTCAGTAAGCAATTTTTCATAGTAAAAACACCCCGTAAGCTACTGTTCACTCCAAAACCACAAGTAAATTATCGATTAGTGGACAAATTATCTCCATTAATACATCAATACTTTGAGCGACACAACGAAGACCTGCTGCCGCTCAAAAATATCAGAACCGCCAACTTTCAACTTCGAATCACTCAGCAGAAAAGTCCTACAATCAATCGAGCTCCTATAAATCAGGTCAAGGTTCACAAAATGTCAGCAAACGAGGGAGGCTCGAAGTGATGGTGCACTTGGGAGGCCCGTGCATGAAGCCCACCGTATCACTGTCTCTGATACCATGATATCAAGCTGCTCACCGAGACCAATTGTGTGATTTCTCTTGCTTCGGATACTAATCGTGGTGAATTCAACCCCCTTGCGTTCTGGTTCCTTGTCATTTGCGGAATTTATGGACACGCACAATTCAACAATGCTTGAATCTGAAACCCCAAAAAAAACAGATCAGAATTCTATGTCCGCTATTGGGACTGAAATAACAGAAGATTAATTTACCTCTCTGGGCAATTTCTTGATCATCTGAAGGAGGGGGACTGAAAAATGAGAAATTAGGCATCAATTGGACATTAGACTCACAATTGTTCTGGAAGGAGAAGCCAATTGTGGGAGGGACATTATCACAATAAGTAGAAAATGATGATTGACAAGTGAATCTAGGGGAAGAAGGATCGGTCTGACTATGACAAGAAATGGGTGAAGAAAAACCGAAGCTAACATCACGGGATGTGGATACATGAAGGGTTGAAAAGGAACACGATCCTGAGTTCTGTTTTTGTCCAAAATTTGTTATACTGCGATGCTCGTTGGAGCTTTGTGCTTGATGAGCAAAGTCCTTTATCCACGAATGATCTGCGAAAAAGAAGAAGCCAGCTTAGTGCATTGCACATGCAAGAAGTCAAAGATAAAGGAACCCTGATCTCATGCCTTGGAAGAGAAAAAAAGAAAAAAGGAATCCTGATTGTGTGATTAAAACTCAGAAGAAAGCCATTTTAATACATATCTAACTGATGAATTAAATCAAAAATAAACTAACAACACAGTGACAATGATAGAAACTCAAGAAGTATTTCAGAGTAAGATTTCAATTTATATATTTACTTTATTTAATGCGTCATACCATTTGCTTGCATCTACTTTGCTTCTCATGTTCACATGCTCAGGACAATAAAGCTTGCATAAAATCAAATAGGCGATATGGGAACATATTCTATACAAACTATACCTCACATCCACATATCTATTTGTAATATTAGAAGGTTTCAGGCTATTTTTCTGTTTTACCTGACCTCTTTATGAGTCGCTAATTATTCTCAGTTGATTGGCGTAATCATAGGACTGCATGTTCATGTACTCACGGCAATAAAGCTCGTATAAAATCAAACGGGCGATATGGAAACATGCCCTACACAAACTATACCCCACATCCATGAATCTATTTGGAATATTGGGAAGGTTTCAGGTTATTTTTATGTTCTCTCTGAGTCTCTGAGCTCTTTATGAGTCGCAAATTGTTCTCAGTTGACTGGCAAAATCATAGGACTGCCTGAAATTGACGTAAAGTATTTATGAAGTCAATCGATGATTTTCAACCTCTTCATGGAGTATTCATGAATGATATATTGATCAATATTATTCACCAGTGCAGGCGTCGGTACTATCCCCTTTTGTAGTTGTCCATCAATTGACTGAGGCCAGGAGTACAATGCAAATATAGCAGCTTTACATCAAGTAATAATTATACAGCATCCCAAATGCTGGGATTTTCGGTCTATAAAGTAAAAGTGAAGAAACTGACTAATTTCTTATTCATAACAAGTGACTACACCTCAGAAGACCTCTGTGTTTGGGGTGGCATCTTGATTTTGCATGTTTTACAGTTACTAGATTTGTATCAGGCTTAGGACAGGCTTGGGCCCATGCGGGATGCATTTGTTGTAATTGTGGGTTTATGTTAGGGCTGTGGGAATCCCTATAAATGGTCCCTTTACGAAAATCCTGAAAGTTGTGATACAATGTTGCCTTTGGTCGTGATGCAGGAGAAGAGGAGTTACAAATTCTTCTCTCATGCATTTAATTTTTTTTAACCTTACTTCTGTATATTCGATCCTAAGAAACTGTCCAAGAACATTAGCTGGTAGGTTGCATCGAGTAGAGAAGATAAAGAGCTATCCAAACTCCAGTCGTTAGCGGGTTGAGCTTGGAGCAAGCAGAGTTAGTGGCATGAGAGTAGAGGCCGCAGGCAATGTGACAGGCCCCAGTGAGTAGTGAGGCAATCCAAGAGATCTTTCTCAAAAAGATTGAGCAATGTCTACACAAGAAACATGGTGAAGCTAACATGTGCAGTCAGGCTGCTGGACATACTGAAGGCACTCAGTGGCTTGAGAGGTTGTGATGAAAGTGAAACCAGCGAGTGATGTGGTCCGTTGGGAGTAGTCCAGCATCTTAGTGACAATGGAGAAAATTGGTTTTTTAACATTTCAATCTAGTCTTTATACTCAACAATCCATATCACAAAAAGCAAAATAAGTCCATTATGCCTTTTTAGTAGCCTTCAATTGAGGACCATTACTAATCCTTTGCTTGGATATTAGTCTTGATTTGACATTTGATTTGAAAAATTATGAATTTTATTACTATTGGGTGTTAGCATTAGAAATTAAGACCTTATATTGTGATTTTGTGATATTATTTATCCTGACATATTTTTTATGTGAATTCCTAAACATGTTTCTTCATGCTTGATTATATATCTTAAAAAATTATGTGTGCGGTGCGTGCCTCGCATCACTCGGGCGCGCGCATCGCGTTGCGCCTAAAGATGCTTTGTGCCCCCCCATTGCGCCTCGTGCATGTGCGCGTAAAGATGCTTTGTGCCCCCCATTGCGCCTCGTGCATTGACAACACTAAGGCTGACCCTTAGCTGGCCGTTTGCATCGAGTAGAGAAGATAAAGAGCTATCCAAACTCCAGTCATTAGTGGGTTGAACTTGGAGCAAGCAGAGTTAGTGGCATGAGCGTAGAGGCCGCAGGCATTGCGACAGGCCCTAGTGAGTAGTGAGGCAATCCAAGAGATTTTTTTAAAAAATATTGAGCAATGTCTACACAGGAAACATGGTGAAGCTCAGGTGTGCAGTCAGGCTGCTGGACATACAGGAGGCACTCAGTGGCTTGAGAGGTTGTGGTGAAAGTGAAACCAGCGAGTGAAAGTGGTCGATTGGGAGTAGTCCAGCATCTTAGTGGCAATGGAAGAATTGGTTTGTAATGGGAAACATAAAGAAGAAAATAGGGTCTGAGTTGTGATTGGCCGTAGACAGTCACCAGTGGAGGACTGGTGAATGTACATGACAATCTGGCTGGTTTTGTCCTGTTGCAAGAGAAAAAAAGAAGCACAAGATACTCCTGCTCTGAAGCAAACAGCAGCCTGGTTAGCAGAATTTTTCTACATAGATGCCCAACTTTGATGGGGTTTTGTGGACAATGCTTCATGTTAGATTAGATGTGTCGAATCAGCAAAAAGATTGCTCTCCCTATGAACTATTGATTCAATAATAGTGTTGCAAGGTGCGATGGGAGACGGGGTTTCTAGTGGGTGTTGGTTCACCTGAGCTCTAATCCCATGCAAGAGATATAAGTGGAGGTGAATTGTTGTTATACTATCAGATTCAGGACAAGCCACAATGCAGTGCGTACAGTTAGTCATGTGGATATCCCATTCGAGGATATGAGACACATAGAGTCAAACAGTGGATAAATGGAAACAATGGGGATTTGCAGATTTTACATTATCATCACATTTATTTCAAAGTGGCTTGTAGAATCAAGTCAAGCTGCATATTATTGGGGTTGTGCCTTGATGTTGTATGTTTCACAATGACTGGGTTCATAACGGGTCCGTGTCAGTTTTGGACCGACAAGAAGATGCACCGTTATTTTGCAACTCTAGGTTTATGTTAGGGTTCCGGAGGTTCCTATTAATAATCTCGTCATGGGAATACCTAGAATTTCCAGACAATGTCAGTTTCTATGATGGCCATAAAGGAAGAGACGTTCGCAAATTCTAGCTGATTACAATAGAATTGATTCTCTCCATTTTTTTATCGTAAATTTGTACGTCAATCCTATGTCCGTGCAGTTTGAATCCTTCCTAACACAGTTGCAGAACTATAGTTTATCTTTGTGACAACACAAATGTATCTTCAAAATCATGTACAAAAAAATAATATGTGAAAAAGTCACAGAACTTTACCTAAAGCCTGCTTGGCAGTAAATCTCTTTGCAGGATCCCTACACAGCATGCCAGAGATCAATTCCTTTGCAGATTCTGTTACGCTATCCCAAAGGTCAGAAGGGAACTGAAGCTCAGCAGACCTCACAGATTCAAAGATCCTTGACTTTGTTTTCCCCCAAAATGGAGGCATTCCACTTAGAAGAACGTATAGAATAACTCCAGCACTCCACACATCCGCCGCTTCATTGTATCCACCAGCTAATACTTCTGGTGCTATGTAGAAAGGACTGCCCACAGTACCATATAAGCTCTTCCCTGCATTCCAATCAAACAACCCTATTATTCAAAATATAAGCCTATTCAAGGAACTAAATTTGGTATATCAGTAGGAAATCCTACATGTTTGACGGGGAGGAATGTTTATCACAAGATACGCAACTATATTTAGTGGACGTAGATGTTTCTCATACACAAGCTCAGGAGCACATTTATCATTATTAAACACTTATTTTCAATTCTCAAAATGTATACTTGATTGTTGGCAATTTGGCATTTTAGACATTGCAGAATAGTAACTCATGGCGACCAAAATATATTTCACCCTTTACATATGTTGTGACTTCAGGAGAATAGTAGCACATAGACGAGCGTGTGATGGCACATTTAGATCTTGTATATACACTGTTGATCACAATGTACACAGTTTGAAGTGAATACAAACTATAATTAAAAAATTCATAGACTTGGATGCTTGTCATCCACAAAGCTCAACCCAAAGACTTCTCAAGCTACCTAAAAACTTCCACAGCTAGCAAGATCTAAATGCACTAGCAAGAAAGCTCCTAGCTTTTGATCATTGGTTGGCCCTCCATATGTTTGTGTTTGTAATTCACCATAAGTGAATAGTCTTATAACCCTACCTAGAAATTCTCACAGATCGTTATATCTCGATGCATAGAGGAGAAAACTCCGAACTATTTCACTACTGACTTCTCATTAGGGTTTAAGCATTTTCGAGAGTGTCAGCTATGAAGAGCAAGGCTCCTCGAAAGACCTAAAGCATGTTTGCAAACCAACTGTCGGCACTTTTATGTCCTAAATTGATTAAGAAAACACCCCCAAACTTCTCATGGACCGAGAAACCTCTTAGGATATAATGAAATTTGATGACTGAAAGAACTGAGCTCATCAGAAATTCAAGCAGTCAATCACTAACCTACCTGGCTCAACATAAGTAGCCAACCCAAAATCCGCAACCTTGATCACCGACGACCTCTCCCTCGTCGCCAACAAAACATTCTCCGGCTTAAGATCTCGATGCACAATCCCATTCTCGTGACAATACACCACAACCTCCATCAAATCCCTGAAAATTCTCCTCGCATCGGCCTCCGAGAACCTCCCAAACTTCTCAATCCAATGAAACAACTCCCCTCCAGCACAAAGCTCCATAACCAAATGCACAAACCCTTCCTCCTCATACACAGCCTTCAACTCCACCACATTCGGGTGCCCCGAGAGCTTCGCCATCACCTCGATCTCCAGCTTCACACCCCTCAAGTCCTCAGCCGAGACCAACCGATCCTTTGCGATCGATTTACAAGCTAACCTCTCTCCGGTGACCAAATCCAAGCAAGAACGGATCACCCCAAATTGACCCCAGCCCAATTGATCCCCGAGAACGTACTTATCTTGTAAATAAGAGAAATTGGGGGTTTCTATGATTGGATCCGCAAGCCCAGGGACTTTGTAGCAGTTGCAGTGGGAGTTTGGGGACAATTGAACCAGACCCATGATGGGTTTTTTGGAGAAATCGGTGATTTGATGATCAAAATCTCATCTTGGTGAGAGTTAGGGCAAGATTTGAGAGGAGCTATAAAGGTCAGCGCCCTGCGGTTTTTATTTTTGTAGTGGGTGAGAGGAGAGGAGAGGAGAGGAGAAGTGACTTGTGATGTCGGAGGGCAGAAAGAGGAGGAATTATTGCTTTCATCTTTTTTATTGTTTTATGCATTTATTGGCTGTTACCTGTTATTGCTAGTGCCTCTCACTTTGGTTCGGGGTTTGATCTCTTTCTCTGTTTATTTTTGAAATTAATGTGTTTTTTATTAGGGAGGTTTTTGGAGGTTTTAGGGGACTTGACTTGGACTGGAGTTTGAGACCTACTAGGATTGGGTGCTCGAGATGGGTCCCATTTTTGGGAATCTACGGGATGTTGGGGAGCAAAAAGTAATGGCCTGTTTCTCTTGCTTTGGTTGAATTTTGAAGGTATTTGGTTTTGGGCGTTTCTACGGGGACCCCAAATAGGGAATCCAATCGGAACAGTTGAGCTGTCCCCCTACGATTGGATGATGCACTGTTCATCATCCAACCGGAGGGGGGCAGCTTACCTCCCCCGGGTCCCCTATTTGGCGTCCCGGGGCATTAATCTTTGGTCCCCCCCCCCCTTCTTATAGATGTTTCATTGTTTACGTGTAAAGATCGGAAAAAACTTTGGTAAGAACGTGAATTCAAGAGGTTTCGGAATGTCGCATGTTTGATGGTGTAAGTCAAACAAATGGTGATTTTCGTTGAATTCGGATCATTTTAGCTTCTTGTTTTGCAACGCAAGATTACTTTCTAAATTATAATCGTCTATTTATATCTCTAATAATTATTGTTCACTTCAAATATAGTGTAATGTACTATGTAGAGTTAAAATATGAATTCTTCGTATTTATTCTGACTATAAATTTTGATGATAGTACGCAACTTTTATAATTTTTAAACTCTATAATTGTGACATGCGACGTTGGAGGGCAGAAAGAGGAGGAATTATTGCTTTGATCTTTTCATTGTTTGGTGTATTTATTGGCTGTTATTGTTAGTGCTTAGGGGCTGTTTGGTTGTATGCTTTTACCATGTAAAAGGATGTAAAGTGTAAAAAAGTGGGTCCCAATGTCAGCTTTCATCACTTTCAATTGTTTGTTTATAGTTGTGAAAATAGTGTAAAGTGATTTCATATGCTGATGTGGCTTGTAAAGTGATTTCATGAAAAAAAAAACATAATTTTAGGAGAAAGCTACATTGAAGTTAGGAAAAAATAATAAAAAATAATTCCAACCAATATGATCATTTGAGTAGAGATCACTTTTTACACTTTCCAAACAAACAATTAAAGTTTCATTTTGCAAACCAAACAAGTGTTTTATGATTCCAATGAAATCAAAAACAAACAAAGAAATGTATAAAAGTGAAATTGATGAGGTGGACAACAACTTTCCAAGTTGTGTCATAAATACACAACTTTACCAATAACAACCAAACAGCCCCTTACTTTGGTTTGGGTTTGATCTCTTTTTATGTTTATTTTGAAATTAATGGGCCTTTAATTAGGAAAATTTTGGAAATTTCAGGGACTTGGATTAGACTGGAGTTTGAGACCTACTGGGATTGGGTGCTCAAGATGGGTCCCATTGTTGGGAATCTAGGGGATGTTGGGGAGCAAAAAGAATGGCTTGTTTCTTTGCTTTGGTTGAATTTTGGAGGTATTTGTTTTGGGTTTTTTTTCCTTTTAGATGTTTCATTATTTACATATATATGGTGAAACAAACTTTGGTAAGAACATGAATTCAAAAAGTTTTGGAATGTCACGTGTTTCTAGTGATGGTATAAGTTAAACAAATGGTGATTTTGGTTGAATTTGAGGATTTTAGCTTCTTCTTTTGCAATGGAATATCTACTTTCTAAATTATAATTTGTCCAATAGTAACTATCATTCATTTTAACTATAATTAGTTTATTATGTAAAGTTAGAGTATGAACTCTTCATATTTATTCTGAGTACATAAATTTCGATGGTAGTACGAGACTTTAATATATGACATATGCTTGTAGAAGGTAAAATTGAGACAGTGTAAAATTGAGACAGTGTGAATTTAAAAGTCATCCCAAATTCTAGAGAGTGTTTCTGATGCGTAATTTTACCGATGTGCTGAAATTTTTTGATTACTTTCTCTGCAAGTGGTATTTCTCAAAACAAGAAATAAAGAAATTTATTGGTGTAGAGTTCACTTTTTTCATAGATTTTGAGAATTTCCTGGAAACAAATATTACTGTCTTATGAAATATTAACGAGATTCTTTATCAGATTTCATTTGCAAATATATCCCTTTGGTATTATTAGTTTTAATGAACGACGAAGGAGAAGAAGTAACATTTTGTCTCCTAATTTTTTCTGCTAAGGGTCCGTTTGGCTTGATAGAAGTACCAAAAATAGGAAATAGATCAAAGAAGTAACTTTTAAACTTATGAAAAATGAAGTAATGGAAGTAATACATTTTTGTTTGTTTCACACATTTATTGAAGCAGTAAAAATAGTACTTCTTATTTTTCATTCCCTTTTTTGCTTGGATAGCAATGAAAAGTTATTAGGAAATAACTAATAAAAGAAATATTAGTAAGAAAGATTATTTGTTTCCTAATTAATGCACATTTCACTTACTTTAGGGCTACTGCCAAGTCTTGAGAGGAAAAAAATATTTAAGAAGAAGTGATGACACGTAAATGTCACATCAACGTTTACTTTATAATTAGTTCCATGCAAACGAACGTGCCCTAAGACTTAAATCTTTGTCATTCTCACATTTAAAATATGAAATAAATTTCTCAATACAGTTTGAGAAAAAAAAATTCTCTGTATTTAAGAATTAAGTGTTACACTTGGATTATATTGTTCAATAATCAATTGATCTTTCATTAGAATTTCAATAATCAATTGATCTTTCATAAATTAGTATCGTAATACTCCCCCCGCCCCTCCCCTGTTTGGTATTCACAATATAGTGATGTCTTGCCGAGATTCTCCGTGACGGGCATCCATCATGATTATGATGGATATTCATAATGATTCATGACATGAGCTTGTTTTGTGTGGGTGTAAAAAAAAAAGGGTGCAGTGCGGGTAGCCGGGTAGGCCACCTTGGTCTCCTTGACAACTTAGCGTACGCGACCACGGGGTCCAAGAGGGTTCGGATAGAAAATGAAGTAATTTGGAATTCGATGACTCATTAGAGAGATACTTGCGAGCTAAGTTTTTGTTTGCTGCTGCTACACAAAATGGGTTGGATCCGGGTCTCACTTGAGTAAAACCCTACCCGTTTGCATTTTACGGCCGAAAGCAGACTTGGCCCAGGTGTCGTCTTATCAGGTGGCCGAGGACCGAGTCTGGTCTTGCAAAAATCAAACGTACATCTCATGAAGATTAGACTCTAATTTTCTAGAAGTATTTTGTGTCAAATTAATCAGTTCACTAAATTATTTTAAAATGGGTTAATTTCACATAACCCTTTATCAACAACAAAAAAAATCACATAACCCAACTGAACGTTGGAGGGTATTGCACATAACCCCCGTGAACTTTGGAAGGTGTTTGCACAAGAACCCTAAATTCATTGAGAGAGGTAGAAACCCAAGATTTTGGGAAGGGGGTATGTTGGCATAATAAGCAACGAAGTTTAAACATTTTTCTCTTAAAGACATGCTAGTTATTTACAAATTACAAGTACGGAGGCAAGTGCGATAAACTTAAAGTTCAAGGGCGTTTTGTGAGACACCTAAAAGTGCAGGGTGGTTATACGAAATAAACAAAGTTCATGGGTTACTTGTTCAGGTTCAAAGAGGGTTGTGTGAAATTAAACCTTTTTGCAATTACGAACAAACGCTTATAACCACGTATAAATCATAACGGATCGAGTTTGCCCAGGTAGCTTAAGCTATGGACATTAATACGGATATAATATATAGGAAGTCAACATCTAGTTAATACTGTTAGATCTACATCATAAACTTGAGATCTAAAACATATAGCCATGATTAATTCAAAGAGATTAACAAGGATCTAAAAAGAGCGGAAGCTTATACCTGAATCCATTGCTTGATCTTGATTTTGGATTTTGGATCTTCTAACCTTAGGGTTTTCTCTTTAGCCGAATTTCTCTCTTAGATGGGGGTGAAGAGAATTAGAGAATGTAGTAACCCTAGATTAGGGACCATAACCCCTTATTTATAGATGTTGTACTTTTGTAATTTAGCCCCTCAATAAATCACAATTACAACCTGGTATCTGCACATATAACCCCATGATTATATTTAAATACCCATTAACCCAACTTAATTGATCACTTTAGTGGGTTATTCTGAAAGATAGCAATACACATTGATTAATCATATGTGTCCACAAATAGATTTATTAGATTAAATCCAACAATCTCCCACTTGGGCACCATATGATTCCTTAAATTGTGTATAACCTTATGAGCTCAAAAATTGCTATCACTGAAAAGGTATTTCCGAACAATCTCGTCCATTGACTATATCAATATAGGATCAAAGCGGCCTTCGTCACATTAATCGTGACTCGACCCATCAATGGTCACATATACTAATACAATCAAATGACATAGATCAATCATGGATGTGCAGCATGAAAATTACATGCAATGTGATCAGTACATGTCTATTTTCAACTGGTCCTCCTTAGTGAGGTCAAAACCAAACATAATGTAACAGAGTGACTTAACTGAAAACTTTATTCTGATCAGACAATACAAACAAACATAAAGCACCACAAATACAAACTCCCACTAAAACATAATATCCTCAAATAATACCACACCCATATGAGCAGTATGCTCATGAAAGACCTTAGGTGGCAATCCCTTAGTAAGAGGATCAGCTATCATGGAGTTTGTCCCAATGTGCTCTATGGATATCTGTCCACTCTGTACCCTTTCTTTCACAACCAGGAACTTAATGTCAATATGTTTTGACTTAGTTGAGCTCCTGTTGTTATTGGAATACATTACTGCAGATTTATTGTCACAATATAACCTTAGTGGTCTTTCAACATTTTCCAAAATGCGCAGTCCCGTGACAAAATTTCGCAGCCATATTCCCTGATTGGATGCCTCATAGCAAGCTACAAATTCTGCTGCCATAGTGGAGGAAGCTA